TTCTTAAAGTCCACTATCATCACCATCATGAGAAGTGATTTTCATTCTGAATCCTGCTTTTCTGGTGTGATGGTGTGGCCAGGGCTTGTTATGGTGGGAGAACTTGGTTCTGATGATGCCAAGTAACTTTGGTTTCTGTTGTCTATGTTCTTGTGCTTGCCTTTTGCCATCTGGTTAACTCTAGTCCTACCTGCACTCACTGTCTCTGACTGGAGCCTGTCTTTCTAGTTATCTTGCTTGTGTCAGAGCTTCTCAGAGTTCAGAAGTCTCTGTGATTATGAGCTCCTGGATGGAAGAACTCCTGGGACTCAGGCTGCTTCTGGGATCCAGAAATTCTGCTGCCCTGAGTGTAGTGGCTCCTCTAGAATGGCTCAGGATATGGTGGCTTCACAGGAGCAGACAAGTTAGGTGTCTGCTCCAGCCAAAAGAATCAAGGGAGGGGCAGAAAGGGAGTGGCATTTCAGAGGGGTGGGGTTTGGGTGGCTGATGGGTCCTGAGTACCCCCGGCTCCCAGCTATATTTCTGGGGCACAGGGTAGTGGGAGAGGGTTCTTACCCACTGCTCTGAGTGCAGTGGCTCCTCTAGGATGTCTCAGGATATGGTGTCTTCACAGGAGCAGACCTGCTAGGTATCTGCTCCAGGCAAAAGGACCAAGTGAGGGAACTATATGTTTCTTATTAGTTTCTTCAAAAACACATAAATCCCAACATGCACAAAAATATTTTATTTCATAATGGTACGGACCCCACTAGTACACGTACTGTGAGAAGAACCCAGGCAGAACCACCATAATATTGGAATCAGATCCCTGGCTGAAATACTGCCAATGTTAGGGTATAAGTCCACAAATGAAACTCAGATTCTTCTATTTTCCATTTGCAAACTAATTTTTGCAGACATAGACATCTTATCTATATAAGAACAGTATGCATATAAACATTCCCACTGTCCCTACCGTAATATCATTCATGTCTCACTCCATCATCAAACATCATACAACTTAGGCTAGGAGCTGTTAAAATACTGACTTAGAAATGAAGGAACAGAGCTGAACATAGACAGGGTGGCTCAGTGATTGGTGATGGAGTCAGAACTGGAGGTGGCATTTGCTCCCAAACACAGTGTCACTTGAGTATAGAAGATGAGTCTAATGTGGGAAAACTGTTGTCACCATTTTGGCCCCAGCACCCTTCTTCACTCTGTGCAGCTGTCTGCTCCCACAGCACCCTTTTCAACTGTCACTGCTATGAGAGAAGCATACCTTTTGGTATTTGTTTGGATGCAGCTCAGTGAAGCCATCAGTTACTCTTGGCTCCATTCAACACTCAAACCCTACATGACATCAGGATGGGGTAGGGTAGAGCCAGGTCTTGTGGTTTTAGTCTCCCTGGTGTCTCTGATACTGTCTGGAGCCTGTCACCTGGTTTCCCATTGTGTTATTGAATATTCTCAGAGCATGCTAAGGTGCAAGTCCTTTTTCTTGGAGGCATGTGGTATATGAGTCTCCTTTGAAGCCTCTTCCCCTTTTTCAGGACTGCTAATTTGGATGGAAATGCAGGAAAGAGATGTCATGGAGAAGAGAAACATTGTTTTGTTTGTTTGTTTGTTTGTTTTAAACTGTCTGGAAGTCCGTAGAATCCATGATTACAAATGATATTAAGAGGTTAGTTTCTAACTTCCCTGTCTTTTGTGCTGCCTTTCCTGAGGCAATGGCCTCCTTCAAGGACCTTGCTTCCGCCTAGAGGGAGGAGGCAAGACACAAAAGGGCTCATGATAGAGGAGAGAGGAGCGGAATCCAGGAAAGTTTATCATTTTCTTAGTTCTAATGTGTGCTGTTTTATAGCGATGTTTTGCACACTGCTCCATTTACTCTGCAGTCCTTTCGAGGTGGGTGAATATGAGGCCAAGAGAGGAGAGATAATTTGGCAATACGCACACAGAATCAGAGTAGTGCCCCTGAGATCTGCGTGCATTTGTTCTGCTGTTCATGCCCTGATCTCGCCAGTTTATTAGCAGAAAAATCTACTGGGGATACCGCAGTGAAGGAGGCCAAGAAGGTTTCTGGAGCAAATGGAATTCACTAAAGTCATAAATGACACATATTCTGAACAACTGTTTCATAAGGAAACCACCCAAACCAAGACATTGCTTCCCCAGGATCTATGTCACTAGCCGCAGCTCCCTCCACTCATGAAAGAACTGATTGATCAGAACTTCAGGGCAGATGCAGTGATGTGAGATGGATGCACAGAACTTTCCTCTGCAGTCTTTCTGAATTGATATTCTTCCACACAACCTTGTAAATGATGGGTAGATCAGAACTATGTCTCTCCTCTTTCTTTCATTTTCCCTCTCTTCTTCTCATCCCTCCTTTCTCTTGCTTGTTTAGCTGTTGACTTGATACACGTTCTGAAATGCCTGTTTCGTATCAGGCACTGTGCTGGGATCAGCCAGACACAGGAAAACTGTGATCCTCTGGCAGATCATTTTCTGTCAAATGGTCCCAGCGATGCAATAAACAAGAACATGGCATTTCAAGCACTGTCAGCATGAAGTGGCATCTAGCTCCGTGGGGACATAGGAGAATCTCTACTTGACAGACGCTGAGGTCTCAAGGTCCCTGGCACCCACTCTGTAATAGAGAGCACACAATCAAACTACTTCCTTCTGACACATACTCCCACCTCCTCCCATACTCAGTTTTTTCAGGTGAATTCATCTCTTTTTGGATTCTCCAGAAAGGCCCACGCTATGATTCTTAAGAATATGTGAATAGTGTTAATTTTGTGTAAATTTATCTGCCTGAGCAGTATCTTGATGTGACTTTATATGATTAGCACCTCTCTGACTCCTATGTCACCAGGGTATATAAAAGGAAACTAGTTACTATTATCATATTAGCCAAAGCCATATTCTGGATTAATTTTTTTTTGTCACGAAGTAATCTGTAAGAATCTACCTATTATAGGGGCTGGCTTCAAAGATAATGTGACAGAATTATTTAGACGATTGCCAAAGATTCCAGCTCTTCTAGAGAGTAATTTAGGATGCAATTGGTAAATCTACACAGTGGATGGACATCATGACTGTTTTAAGGAAAATGGAGTAAGGACAGTTCCCAGCTTAAGGGAGTTACTGAAGAATATTTAGGGCTACAAGAAGCAATGCTATAGCTTCTTAAACCTTACTTTGTAAACATAATCCATGCTAGGAAACTGGCTTTGAAAGAACAGTAATAGAATAAACTAAGTATTTGCTTTTATTTAGTTCAAGACATACATTTAGCAGAGAACACATATTTAGACTGTTTGTGTGTCATAGAGTAAAGTGAGGAGTATAAAAATTTCTGTAGTGCAACATTCTTCCCTCAGTTATTTCCTAGAGACATAATAAAGGAATGCAACTATAATCAATATAATGTTATTTCTAAATTAGAAAGATGGCCTATTATTTTGCTAATTGGATACAACAAAAGACTGGTGGAAGTTTATATTTGTTCTAGGATGTTTTAAATCTGGGAACTAGGAAGTGTTATGGACTATATTAATTAATTAATTAATTTAGGTATGTGAAATATTTCCTTTTGAACTTCTATCTTGTTTTCTTTGTGCCTTCAATATTCTGTCTTCCAGAATGTTCCTTACTTGAGAAGGGGACAGAGACTGCAGCAACCAAGACTAGGAAGCATTGAGGGGTTGACTAGGGGGTTGGTAAGGGTCTTGCTCAGCTGAAGCATATTAGGGATTAGCCTAGGAGGCCATTGGAACTCTCGTGGGTTTGGAGAATCTAGCAAAAGAGTCTAGGGTTTGTTTTGTAATGGCAAGGGGAAAGACATAGTTTTCATAGGACACGGGATAATGGTGTGCGCTATAGTTTTATATCAACTTGACACATGCTAAAGTCAACAGAGAGGAGGGACCTTTTATTAAGAAAATGTTTCCAAAACTTGGGTTGAAGGAAAGCCTGTAGGTCATTTTCTTAATTTGTGATTGATTTGGGAAGGCCCAGCTCATTGTGGGTGGGGCCATCCCTGGACTGGTGGTCCCGTGTTCTATAAGAAAGCAGGTAGAGGGATGGTGAGATGGCTCAGCAGTTAAGAGCACTGACTGCTCTTCCAGAGGTCCTGAGTCCAATTCCCAGCAACCACATAATGTCTCTGTATGTGTAATGGGATCTGATGCCCTCTTCTGGTGTGTCTGAAGATAGTGCCGTGTACTCATTACAATAAATAAATAAATAAATAAATAAATAAATAAAGAAAGAAATATTGAAGAAGACAGGCTAAGTAAGCAAGCCAGTAAGCAACATCTCTCTATAGCCTCTGCATCAGCTCCTGCCTCCATTTTCCTGATCTACTTGCGTCCTGTCCTGACTTCCTTCAATGATGGACTACAATACAAAAGTATAAGCCAAGTAAACACTTTCCTTCTCAAGTTACTTTTTGGTCATGGTATTTCATCATAGCAACTGAAATTCTAACTGGCACAAATGGAATGGTGGCTTTGTTAGAAGTCACGTGGAAAATGTGTACAAGGGCTATGATTGAAGACAGAGCTTTGGTCTCCTGTTTGTCATTGTATTCCCAGCACCTAGCACTTTCTGGCACAGAATAAGCACTTTATGGTGTTTGTGGAATAAATAGGAACATATCTGGATACGTAGATAAAGGATCTATGAAAGGCAAATTGAAATAAGCAAGTACATATTTGCAGCCTCTGGAACAGTGCTAGGTGATGGGTACTTGGAACATGGTTGGGTGATCCTTTAACTGCTCATTAAGTTATGACATCACAGCACACATTGTGGGTGATAAGCAGAGTTTAAGCGAATACTTAAACTAGAATCATTGCATGAGCCACAGGCATCCCTGTCCAGTCATTTGAAACGTGTGATGGATGCTCAAATTCTCATGGTTATATAGTTTCTTGAAACTGGCCCCTCACCCATTCTGAATGACTACCGGAGTTTACACAGATTCAATAAAATGCAACCTTCTTTAGGAGAAAGTATACCTGTCACAAAGACACCATTGCCCCAAACGGAGAACACGATGCCCTGGAAATCCCACAGTTTGGAGGACTACCGGAAACATGTGCTCTTCTGTGGAACAGAAGTGATTCAGGTCAAGCCATCTGGTCAGGGACCTGTCAGAGCCGTTGTTTTGCAGACCGGTGAGTGAATCCAACTTTTATAAACACAAGCTGCGATGGGGGTGGGGAGAATTGGAGGTTGGCAATTTTGTTTAGGATTTTGGAGTTTGCTATATTCTGGGAACAGCAGCCATACTCTTTCCTAACATAAGTGGTTCTGAGTTGCCATCACTTAAAATTGAACAGTCACTGTTAAACTCTTATATGTGATGAGTGACATGGAGAGATGTTGAGAATTTCCTAAAGGCTTGTGGCTGTAGGCCTCTCTTTTTCCCTCAGTGTTTCCTTGCAAAGCAACCTCAGCTGCAACAGCCAGGAAAGATACTTTTTCATCCCCAAAGGTTGCTAGCTGGATACCAATACCTGGCTGCTCTGCAGACATCAGGGTCCAAGGCCTAGACATGAACTCATGGTGTTGCCTCTCTGAGAGCAGCACCAGCATCCAGCCCAGCTGTTAGCATCTTTTACTATTGGTATCATCTTAGTACTTCTCTTTCTACCAGAATAAACAGACATCAAATATCAAGCACTCTGTTATCGACTGCTGAGTCACAGTCCCTTGCCTTCACTGTCGTGGTTGTATTTATGCAGTCTTCTTCATTTCCTGTCTACACTATCATACCAGAAACATCTTTTGACTGTTTCCTTTCAGTTTTTGCTTTAATCTCTCTCTAAACTGTTACTCAGTCTGTCACCACAGACACATTTTCTTAGCCCAGTTTGCAGTAGTACATTCATACCATGCTCAGAATGTTTTCATGACCACATTCATTTTCATTTTTCATATGACATCACATGACCAAGGCTTCCCATGGCCCAGTCCAGGCTGTGTGTGTTTGTGCTGCTACACAAATCCCTAGACAAAAACCACACATTGCTTTCTGATACTATCCTTTAGTTTAGGTTACTTTAGTGACTTCAGATATGCAAGCCAAATACTGTTCTAATTTTTTTTTTTTACTATGAATGATACTTTATTCAGTCATTTTCTTTACAACTGAAATTCTGGGAATTCAAAATGAACATCCTTGTCTGTGAGCTTCTTGTACACACCTGAAAAAGTTTCCACCTTGTGCTCCATGTTGTTCTGCTGTGCTTTGTCTAAACGAACTTTTATGAGCCGGCTGCCATCCAGTTTCACACGGATCCTCTACCCACAATTTCACTTGGGAAGACCAAGTTCTTAAGGATGGCGTCCTGCACTGCTGTCAGGGTGCGGCTTCTGGGGCGCTTTTGCTTATTTTTCGTACAGCTTTTCCAAGTTGGCTTGGGCAGAATACTCCTCTGAGCAATGAAGACTACATACTTCCCACTGAACTTTTTCTCCAATTCACGAACTAGCTGGACTTGGATTTTCTGGAAAGATTTAAACTGAGGAACTGGTACAAAAATTATGATAGCTTTCCGACCACCACCAACTTCAGTTTCCTTAATCTCAGTGATGTTGAGTTCCCGCAGCTACGCCTTGAGATTTGAGTTCATCTCCAATTCGAGCAGCGCCTGAGAGATGCCAGACTCAAGCTCGTCCGGCTTCTTGCCATTGGGCTTCACAATCTTGGCGCTCGAGCTGAATGAACATGGCTTCGTCCTTATGGAGTGCCCACTTAGAAAGAGCCACAGCTCTCGCGAGAACAGCTCATATACGGGTAGCCCTGTTTTAATTTTTTAAAGATAAAATGGTTTCTGTGTTAAAACAAGTTAGTGGACTTTAGAGCATCCCTCAGCCAGGTGTCTAAACATAAGCTAATGTTTAAAGTCCTATAAAGCAATTGTGGTGGTTAGAATGGGTTTGACGTCCACATACTCATGTATTTGAATGCTTTGCCCAAGGGAAGTGGCACTATTAGGAGGTGTGGCCTTCTTGGAGGAAGTGTGTCACTCTGAGGGTGGGTTTTGAGGTCTCCTAGTGCTCAAGTTCTCCCTAGCATGGAGCAGTCTCCTCCTAGCTGCCTTCAGATCAAGATGTAGAACTCTTAGCTCCTCTAGCCACGTATCTGCCTCATGTTTTCTTCCCACTTTGATAATAATGGGCTAAACTTCTGAAACTGTAAGCCAGCCCCAATTAAATGTTTATCTTTTTAAAAGTATGTTTAGTATGTTGCCTAAGATCATTCTTGTGATATTTGGGCGAAGAATGAGGCTGGTTTTTGCCCTTGTCTGAAGAGTTTCCTTGAGGCTAAGGAGAAGAGATTTCGTTTAATTGCATTAACAAAGGAAATCTCAAGACAAAAGAGTGTTTGATCAAGCTTGCTAGCTTAGAAAGGAATAATACAAAATGTATGGTTTAAGGATTAAAAGGGCACCAGGAAATGAAATGGAGATAGATCCTGTGTTTAAGGATATTAGGTAGCAACAAGGGAGTGGTGACCTGGGGCAAGATCCCACCCAGCTAAGCTTATTGTTTATGTGTTTGCAGTTGAACAAGGATAGTTATGTTAGGCACTACTATGACATAGTTATTGTTTTATTCAGATAAAGGAGATATCATTGTGTGTCAAATTGACAAGAGATAAATTGTGATGGCCCTTCTTGGTTGTCAACTTGATTATATCTGGAATGAATTACAATCTAGAACTTATAAAGGTCTTGTGAAAAGAAATTGAAGAAAAGCTTAGGTACAAGCATGGTGGTACATGATTTTAACCCCAGGAGACAGAGGAAAGCAGATCTCTGAGCTCAAGGCCAACCTGGTACAGAGCAAGTTCCGGGTAAAGAAAAGTTTGAGTCCAGACATGGTGGTACATGACTTTAATCCTAGCACTCAGGAGACAGAGACATACAGATCTCTGAGTTCAAAGTGAGTCTTCAGAATAAATTCTATGACAGCCAAACTTAGGTAGTGAAGGAAACCATTGAAGGCAGAAAGCTGGTGAAGCTGTAATTGGACAAAGGGACATGTTCCAGCCTCAGAAAGTAGTAGAACTTGGCAGTTTTGGCCACATGGTTCTGGCTTTAGAATCAAGGATGGAATTTCCTCTGAGACTAAGGAAAACTACTGAGGCCAAGTGTCTAACAGGAGTATCCCTACATGGAGGGCCAGAAAGGCCATTGTGTAAATTAGCCAACGTCGTCCCTTGTGATGCATGGCAGTCAGACTTGGTAATGAATAAGACTCAGTCAGGTAGACCTGGTTTGAAAATCATGAAGGGGTCTGGGAGAGCTACTTAGTCTTGGCACTGTGAGAAGTCAGGAGATGCCATTGGGGAAGGTATAAATGCAGTATCAGTTGAAGGCCCAGGAATGAAGGGGTCATATAAAGAAGTTGAGGCTGGGCACCATGAAGGGAGCCTGAGAGGCTATTGGTGAAAGTACAGCCCAGTTACAGCAGAAAACCCCATCTTTTGGAGATGCCAGTACCATGGGTGACCATCAAGAATAGCAGCAACAGAAGCTGTGTTCCAGAAGCAGTGAAGGTGAAGCCTGGATTGCCTTGGAGACCTCCAGAGGTTAGAGATGCCAGAGCTGTGGGATACCTGCTGAGGAAAGCTGCTAACAGGGAGTAAAACCAGACCAGGGGGAAAAAAACATATTTGCAGTCAACAAAGCTGAGAGGAGTTAGAAGTCAGACACAGAGATACAGAGATACAGAGTTTGGAGTTTGCACAGATGTGTTTGGTCTTGCTTTGGGGCAGTATGTTCTCACTCAGATGGTTTGGAATGACAATGTATTTCCTGTGATGTTCGAAGTATGTGATCTGCTTTTTTTATTTTGATTTTATAGAGAATTATAGTTAAGAGATTGGATGAATCTTTGAACTGTGAATTTTTAAACATTGCTCAGATTGTGATAGATTATGGGGACTTTGGAATTGGACTAAATGCATTGTGCATTATTTTATGGCTATAAGCCTATGTGGGCTGGGGAGTGGAATGTGGTGGTTTGAATATACTTGGGTCAAGGGAAGTGACACTATTAGGAGGTGTGGCCTTGTTGGAGTGGGTGTGGCCTTGTTGGTGTAGGTGTGGCCTCGTTGGAGGAAATGTGTCACTATGGTGGTGGACTTTGAGGTCTCCTAGCACTCAAGTTCTGCCCAATGTGGAACAGTCTCCTCATGGCTACCTTCAGGTCAAGATGTAGACCTCTTGGCTCCTCCAGCACTATGTCTGTCTGCACACTGCCAGACTTTCTACCATGATAATAATGGACTAAACCTCTGAAACTTTCAGTCAGCTACAATTAAATATTTTCTTTTATAAAATTTGCCTTGGTCTTTTCACAGCAATTAAACCTTAACTACGACAGTATTTTCACTTTATCAAGAAGCTGAATTAAGAGTTCATGCCTTTCAGTGAGCACTTCCAAGGTGTTTACATGACAACTTAGAGAAAACTATGTTCGTAATTCTCTAAAGGCCAGAAAATCTTGTTTGAGAAAACCATGTATCCAGCAAGAAATTAGGTCAAGGCATACTTTATACTTAAAAACAAAAAAACTGGCTAATATTCAAAGTGTAGAACTGGCAATCATTTTAGCCAATAAGTCAAACAGAAATGAGAATTTACTAAATGCTATGTAAGATAATGAATTAATGTTTGTTTATTTAAGAAAAGTTATGATATGATATGAGACAGGTGGATGTACTTACAGTAACTTATAGTTAACTAAATAGAATGCTGATCAATGCTAAATGACCAAATATTTCAGGGAATACATTACTTTTGGTTCAAATGTGGACATGGAATTTATGAAACACTTTTTGATGAGGTGGCATTTGAAGTCAAGCCTGATAGGGTGAGGGAGAGCTTATCCTAGCATATGAGAGCTAGAGAGATAGGAACAAAACATAAATGCAAGAGTCTTCTGGCACCAGTGAATAGTGAAAAGGGTCTGTCAAGATAGAAGCACATGATGAAAGAAAAAGAAGAAGCACATGATGATGAAGGTGACTTTCAATACTATGCCTAGAATTTTGCCTTGGAAGTCCTTGGAGTTGAGGAAGGCCTGTGCACATATATTTTAAATAAATCACTTGTCTATTGCCTTCTGCTTCTTTAAAATTTCAGTTCTTTTATAACTTGTATCTGTTATCAACACATACCTGTTTTCTCAGAGTTTTCTCTTGGCATCTCATTTTCTCTGGTCACAGTTTGCAGCAGGCAAGTCCACTTTTTTAACTCTGTAGGTCATTGAATGGTTGTACTGTGGGGACCAGTGAAGCATTGTCTCTGAGAACAAGAGGAATTAAATAGTGTTGAGTGAAGGCCACTGAATGAGTTTTGACAAGGCTGATAAAGTTAGGCCAGAGTAATGCTAATTCCATCTCAGATTCTAGTGGCTTTGGAAAGAAGCTGAGACTTTCTCCTTCTGTGTTTATCTTCTTAGGCTATAATACAGCAAAAGGGGACTTAGTGAGATCCATCCTCTACCCTCGACCTCTGAACTTCAAACTGTATAATGATGCCTTCAAGTTCATGGTGTTCCTGGCCTGTATTGGTGTTGTGGGTTTTTTCTATGCCCTAGGTGTCTATATGTACCATGAAGTAAGTACTGCGAGTAAGTCTTGTCATAGTTTTTCAAGAGCTTAATATTGATTTGAGATTCCATAATTCTGTGAATCAATGCTGTCCAAAGGAACTTTCTTAGATAGTAGAAATGTTCTATGCCTACATCTATAGCATGAAAAGACTTGGCTGGAAATACAGCTAGATTGCTGGTACAGTGGTTGCCTAGTATGTACAAGGCTCTGGGTTTCATTCCCATAAATACACACACACACACACACACACACACACACACACACTTATAACACTTAGACACATATAACAAACAAATTTTCAGTTTAAATTCACGTTGTATAGCAGAGCCAAGTGTTATAGGAGGCAGCTGGGAGAAAGCAGGCAGCTGGAGAAAGGGTGACATCTTGCTCTGCTGGGCTAACCCATGTTCATCTTTTCGCATCTCCAGGTTCCTCCAAGAGAAACTGCAACCATGGCCCTGATCCTCCTCACTGCTACTGTCCCTCCTGTGCTCCCAGCTGCGCTGACCATAGGCAATGTGTATGCCCAGAAGAGGTTGAAGAAGAAGAAGATTTTCTGCATCTCCCCACAAAGAATCAACATGTGTGGCCAGATCAACCTCGTGTGCTTCGACAAAGTGGGTTCCAAACTTACTAGGTTGGGGGTTGAGGGTTTTGATGCACGGCACAGCTAGGAAGGACCTCAGAGTGTGGTTTCCTTACCATTCCCACTATACAGCTGAGAAACTGAGGCCAGAGGCAGTCACAGATGGTAGGAGGTCACAGTCTAGAAAGCAGTCAGAGAGCAGCAGTGTGGCAATCTTATCGTGATTTCCTTTGCCTGCTACAACTTAATACTTTCTGTGCCCGGGTTATGTTTTGAAACAGTCTCTTGCACCTATAATCTCTTCAAGCAAAAACTTGGGGAGAACTTCCATGTCTTAGAAGTGCCCATGTGGAACTTACATGAGCAGTCTCATTCACATCCACCTACTGCTTCTTGAAATGACAAAGATGGAGTGAACAATAGCCAGTGTTGACATTGCTGCCACCACTCTTTCTCCTCTTCTTCCAGAGGTCAGGGATCCAGGCTAAGGAAGTATTATACCTGTACTCAGAGTCTGGAGAGGTGGCAGTGGGAGAGGATGAGCTGGAGGGGGATGGCTGCTGTTGTCAGGGAGTACAAGATTCCCACCACTCTCCTATGGGAACCAGGAATGAATCCAGCATCAAGCACCCCCCCCACCCCGCCCATACCTAGATCTGGCCTCAGATTGGATAGGCTGTAGTACAGTGGGCTTGGCTGATCGTTCCCTGCTTCAGTTCATTTTGTTTGACTAATTAGTCAATACTTTGGTCATTTATTTCCAGCAAACTCTCTCTGCAGGCCAGTGTTGTACACAGTGCTTGTAGAGCATTATGACTGGCCATTCCTAGCTTTGAAGAGGTTCAGCATCTAGCCGAGGATGTAGGCAATATGGGAGTAAGGCAACTGACCTCCTGGGAGATGTGTGCTTGGTGAGGGTGTGAGCAAGCATCAGCAGGTGCTTACCTGTTGCAGGCTGGAGGCCACCTTTGAGCTTCAGAATACGACATGACCCAGATTCAGAGCTGGCCAGGTCAAAGCACAAAAACGAAAAGATACTTAAACATCTCACAGTCAGAAAACTAGAGTAAGGTTAGATGCTGGACTAGCCAGTGAAATGAAACTGGAGGGCTGATGTGGCAAGCTAAGCAGGGGGCTGTATCTTGAAGGAGAGCATGAGGCCTTAAAATATATACTACGAATAAAATTTTTATAGAATTCTTTTGTTGTTCTTTTTATGGGAACTTTGTGAAGAGGCTGTTAGTTTCTTGTCATTATGGCCAAACACTTAAAAGCAGCAAGTTAAGGGAAAAGAGATTTGCTTTGCCTCATGGACAAGGCCAGGAGGGCAGGGGGTGTTCACACACAGCTGGAGCACAGCAGGAAGCAGGGAGCTAGACTGGGAGTGGAGGTAGACTGTAACCCTCAAGATCTACGTCCAAAGGTTCTGCAACTTTCCAAAACAGCGCCCCCAAACATTCAAACACACAAGCTATAGGGGAGGATTAGCATTCAAACCATAGCAAAAGGAGTCAGGACAAGATAGAGAGGGACCAGGCCATCTGTGGACAACTGAAAAGACTGTGTTTAGTTCCTACTCCTGGAGAGCTGAGGGGAAGCTGTGTGAGACCCGGCCCTGCTTTCTCAGGGGAGAACATCCTCTCTCTCAGATTATTTCTCCTCTCCTCTCCCCTTCCCTTCCCTTCCCTTCCCTTCCCTTCCCTTCCCTTCCCTTCCCTTCCCTTCCCTTCCCTTCCCTTCCCTTCCCTCCCCTCCCCTCCCC